CCTCTCCTTTTCTTATATTCATTTTCCATTCATACAATCAGGAAATTAATCTATCTTCTAATACATCTTGTAGGTCTCACAGGTCCTCTTCCTGTAATCATTCTACTTTCACTCTGGTTTCTTTCAATTCTTTCCTTTTGTTTCATTTCCTTCCCTTTTGCCCATTTTCCCCTAAGATGCATTTTTAACACTATCAAACTATTATCTGTCCCAGATTCAGAATATTTCATCATCTTTTATCTAGCTGATTTATTCATTAGATTAATTTATTCAACACGTAGCCAGCCATAAATTGCCAGCAGCAAACAAATATTATAATGTCCCCAATAAATACAGATAAAAATTAATAAATAAAAATCTCTCAGCCAAAATCCAGAAAAAAATAACAGCAATAGGCAGAATCCCACCTGGATATCATGTTACAAAAGCAGTTTGAAAATTCTCAGTCTTCGATATTTTCCACTACCCATAAACAAATTGTACTTTTAGATATATATTCATTCTTTTATCATATATATGCATGAACAGACTTATCCTTAAACCATATACTCTATTTCAAATAAAAATATATTTTTTCTAAGATGAAACTAACTAATCAATCATCATTTTACTTCATTCCTGGGCCCTCAAGTTATGTACTTTCTCATCCTCTTTCCCTTCATATAACATCGCAGATTACAAATTCATTCAGAATTCTGCACATTTTTTCCTAAAGCTCATTTCTGTTTCTTCAATCATCATGATCCAGTGGAATGTCAACATTCAATTATTATAAATCTCTGAATCCTTACTCTCATATGCATTCCCAACATGTAGGTGATATTTATTCATAATGCAGATATACATTGTAGCCCTTTCGTTCATAATTAAATCTACATATCTATTTCCACTTGCATGTTCATTTATTTATTCTTCACCCTTTCCTTCTCTTACACTCTTAGTTGCATTCTTCCATATATAATGTTTATCAACAGATGGCCCCACATAATTTCTCTCTGCAATCTGTTATAACTTTATTAATTTTTTTATATAATGCTTTTTAATAAGAGAAAAAACAAACCTGGTCACACCTTGGTCATTCCCATTCTATATACAGCATTCCTTGATAACATTACCAGTGAGGTTGGCCATTTAGCCCAAACACAGCTAAAGTCCAGCTTTATCACAAGCATGCTTACACTATTCTATGTAAATTAAGATTTCTACTTTGGAGACTTTGCAAGACAACACACCCTTGCTTATATCCCACCAACAGGAAGTATATGCAGTCATGTTCCTGCACTTATTAACATTATTAGACAGCATACTGTACTACTGTAGTATTGCAAAACCTAAACCCCATGAGTAATTCAGTGTAAGTTTAAAATTTGTATGCTTTTAATTGTATTTATGTATTTGTTTGCTCTGCCAGCATTGAAGAGTCTAACTAAATCTGTGGGTAATTCAGTGAAACCTTTAAAATGTGTATATCTTTAACTGTATTGCTTGCTTATTTACTTTGGATTGTGTAAGTCACCCAGCATCTATCAGACATCTATAACGTTATTATTGTTGGTCACACAGTCAGACAGATCTGCAGACTGGATTTGGCATTTTTGTCCACCTATCAAGGCCTTCTAAAGGAATTGCGATAGGTAAATGTTGTTGTTTAACAATATTAAAGGTATTATCGCAGGATGTCAAATGTTCCAAGCAAAGCTGTCTTTCGACCTGACTGATGGTGATTTTGCCAATGATAATAGCGTCGCTCCCAGGGCCGGATTTAGATGAAAAGAGGCCCTAGGCTATTCCACTTATGAGGCCCTTTCACCTATAGTGAAAGTGTAATTTTAATTTTGCTAACAACTTGAATGTAGGCCCCTCTTGATCTTGAGGCCCTAGGCTGAAGCCTAGTTGGCCTATAGGAAAATCAGGCCCTGGTCGCTCCCGATGTTTTGGGATTGGACCCAAGGAGTCTATTATTATCGGTACTATATTGCTTTCATTTGCCAGACTCGTTCTACTTCAAAGACTTGCAGATCTTTGTATTTTGTCATTTTCACCAGTTCTTTCTCTTTTGCTGTCTCCAAGAGACTGGAGTCCACTATCTAGACTTTTTTGTCTTTCTTATCAACAATTGTTAAATCTGGGAGGTTGTATGGCAGATGCTTCTCTGTTTGAATTATAAAGTCCCAGAGTACTTTAGCTTCTTTATTTTTTATCACTTTGTTTTGTGGTCCCACCAGTTCTTGCTTGCAAGCAAATGGTATTTGTTACTGATATTCCAGTGCACCGTTATTGCTACCTTGTTATGCCGTTGTTTGTAGTCAATCTATAACAAGATGGTCCACTGTTTCTTCAATTTCTTTACAGAGATGGCATTTGATATCTATTGCTGTCTTTTCAGATCTGGATTTATATGCATTTGTTCTTAAAGCTTGGTTTTGTGCAGCCAGAATTAACCCTCCTATCTCTTTCTTCAACTTCAACTGCTCTTGGCCATTTCCAGGTTTTGTTGTTAGCTGCTTTCCTTGCTAGTGGTTTTATCCATTGGCCATGTAATATTTTGCCTTGCCATGCTTCTTTTGTATTTTTCGTTTCATCTTTCTTATAGGCAAGTTTAGTCTTTTTGGTACTCGAGCCTTCATGGTGTACTAGCTTCAATGCATTTTCTTCACTGTTCTTCAAATATTCTTCCAATCCCCATTTTTCTTTTTCAACTTTTTGGGATACTTGCAACATCCCATGCCCACCTATACTGCTTGGTAAATAGAGTCTCTCAACATTGTTATATTATTATTAAAGTTTATAATAATATAAAGTTATATTATTACTGAGCAAGTAGAAATGCAGTTGCCACCTCAGCTTGTATAGTTCAATAAAATTGGAAGGCACCAACTTGAAGAAACATGATCAACAGTACATATGCCAGTGAAAAAGAAGTGGGAACAAGATTTACGACTTCCAGCCAGTTAGAATTTATATAGAATGCACAGAATGTTCTTCAAAGTTATGTTTATCTGCAACAATGATGGAAGAGGATGTATCAATAATGGCCAGTCTGACCTGCAAGAGTTTGTGGTTTATATATGGTGTTATGATCTGAGCTGGTCAAGTGATATTTAAGAACCTTGTTTTGCTTTGGCCGGCTGTCTTGCAGGTGTGGGTCTATGACAGTTCACTCTGGCCGACTCGCCCCAGCCAAATCACCATGGCCAACTTGCCACAGCCAATTTGCTGCAACCAATTCACCGCAGGACAACTTACTGCAAGGCAAGAGTTACACTAATATCAAACAAATGGTGGAATAGAATCATTAAAGAAAGGATGCAAAAGGAGAGAGAAAAATGAAATGTGAATGACAAAAAGTAAGATAATTTTTTATTTATTTTAAATAATTAAATTAAATTGTTAAATTGTCCTGTGTAAGTTGTTCCATGGTGCAGTTGTCCATGGCAAGTTGGCTGTGGTAAGTTGACCATGGCAAGTTGGCTGCAGTGAGTTGTCCCATTCTGGCAGCAGCTTCCTAATTCCAATCAGATTCCATTTTTCAGGATCCATCACAAGCTTGAATTTTGAAACAGCCTCATAATTTTGCAGTAATGCTTGACTTCTAAGAACATTCTGTACATTCATGTCCATGTCCAAGTGGTGAATTCTGTCCTTCTCTCCAGTTGGTGGTGTCCTCTTTCACAAACACATTTTTTCTTGCTTTTTATGCCCTTTGGAAGAATGCCTAATTTAGGAACATATCCTAGATAAAAAATGATATTGCATTACTAAGAGTATTGGTTGTTCTTGCTGCCTCTCTCTGGATTATTTCATCTCACTTTTCTTCGGTCTCAGCTAATTTGTCCTGTACCTCTCAGCATTTCATAGAGCCTTGTCACTCCTGTGCATTTGGCATGATCTGAGACTGAACACTTTGAACATTTGTCTGGCTCCCAAAGTGGGTTCTATGAATAAATTTTCCCCCTCCCCCTTCTTTTTAAAAGTATTCATAGTAACCTTGGCAGCGGGAAGTTAGCCCTGAGGGAACTTTCCCCCTTTACAATCCCCTTAATTAAAAATATTTTCTGGAAGCTACTATTTGCTTTAGAGGATAAAATATATCAGTACTCAAATTATATCTGTACATTTAACCGTGGATAGTTGTGGTCTCAGAAGTTATTGGAAAGACACACACACACACACACACACATTGACAACTACAATCTTGGTCCAATCTCTCTTTTCTCCCAGCAGTTTCGAATTAGTGTTTTAATTATAGCTGCTCTTATTCACAAATCTCCCCTCCTACATTTATAGTTTGTCTTATAGCAACTCCTAAAGGAAGCTTATAGGAGCATCTAATTTTTCTCAAGCTAATTAGATGAGGCAGACCAGCTTTGTTCCCAAATTGGTTTTCACTGAATATTTGAGGTAAATTAATTAAAATCCAATATATTATCAATTCTCTTTTTGTCCACATAAAGCAGACCTAATACTGCAATATGTACAACCTTGAGTTTTTCTCTCAAAAGGAGAAGCAAGAGAGCTTTTCAAACAAAAAGCCAAAACTGGAGGATGGGGGCATAAAAAGTTAAAGGAGGAGGGGAACCCTTGGGCTTATGAACAAAATCAGGAAGCTGACAAGAAAAAAATTAGATATTTTTATCGTCTATTTTTCCAGCCCCTTTTTGCATTACATTCAGCTTCAAAAGAAAATGGAAATGGCATCCAAAGAAGTCTGGATTGCAGACGTAATCTAATCCCATTTTGAGGATCATAAAAATAAGAAACAAATGCTGGGGAGAAGCCTCCTGATTGCTAGGTGGATGCATTTGTGTTGTTTTCTTGATAACAATACAGAAGCGAATTGCCATTGTGGTTTTTTTCTGTATTTTTTTTTCTTCTGTTTGTTTTTGTTTCTTTATTTCCCAATATAAACTACAGTTAATTTCCTAATGATCTCCCTTCCAATACTAACCAAGTCTGATCATGCTTAAACAATTTCAAAAGCAGTGAATGTGGTACTGCTACTTGCTGTGAAAAATATTGAAACGTGCTCCAAGGCAAGTGATTGTCGCAGGATTCTCATACACTGATTCAATGAACCTTTGGTTTGCGTAGAGAAAGTAAAATGGATGAGGCAGCTCATAGTCACACCTTTGTTTCCTTCAATGTCATGTTTTTCTCTTTCCTAGTGTCTCCATTTAACCCCATGTAGTCCAATTGCATCAGCTGTTGGCTGGACATAACACATGCCTGCCACGAATGTCTTAAGAAGGTCAGATGATGGTCCACAGTCCAACTCTCTTACTCCCAGCTCCCACACTAAGGCTACACATCCTAGCAGGACTGCAGGAGTGCAAAGCAACCCAACAGATTCACACTCCTGCTGATTGTGGGATACTCACAAACTACTGTGGCTATGAATGTAATGACTATCAACAAAGAAAGGAGCAGTTAGGTAAGTAATTGTTTTTAATGGGATTAGACTGTATTCATGTTTTTTTTAAAAAAAAAAACCCTCTAAGTAAAACTCTCCATGTGATTCTAAAACCGTGGTCTGTTAGAGCTGATATTTAAAGTGGCATATACCTTGTCCATTTGGATCAGGAAGAAGCAAGGTTAGTAAGGATGATAAGGGGCAATATTAATCCTGAAACTTGAACAATAAATTCTCTCTAGAGAAAGCTGTGTAAACTGTAAAATTTCTATTGCAAACTAATTAAGGTAACTAGCTAGCCTTTAAGATTCCCTAAATCAATTTTCCCCAAAGAGCTGACTTTCAAAACTTGAGCTCTCAAAGCTGATTCAACTGGCTAGAAATAGTAATTAAGGTAACTGAAGTCCAGCACATCTGGAAGGATATGATTGAAAAGCCTGAGAGACTGCAGAAGAACTGCTTTGGGTAAGGACAAACCTCAGTGCTTCCTGTAGACTTTTTCCTTTCCAGATCCTGACCTGACTGTTGCTGTAAGCATAGAGAAGAAATGGATTATTATTATATAGTCAGTAGTCAGCTTATTCCATTAAAACACTAACCTTTCTGGAGTGATGTCATTTTGGAAAGGTTTCGTACATCACTTTTAAATGCTTTTTGATGAACCTAGTGAAATAGCAATAGCCTTTTAAATCAACTGAGGTTTGATACATTACAGGAAAAAGCTCCCAGTGGCCAGCCAAATATAAATCTGAAGCAATTACCAAGAAGAGTATACATTAGTCTCATAGTCCTACTAAAATATTTCAGGCAGACAAGTGGTTAGAGGCGAATGAATGGCAGATACCCGTTGCAAACATGTAGTTTCTTCACTTTTCTTCTCTGCTTTGACAAAATCATCAGAAATTAAAATATGGCTACAAAGGTAAACCACAGAGAGATTTCAGGAGTTGGCACTGTAAAAAGCTTAAGAAATAAATAAAATTTTAAGCATGCTTACAGTATTTGAAAAGGAACACTGGTCCTACCTATGGGTTCATCTTCAAAGGGATGTATGTCTAAGCTTTGAGCAGTAGAAAGAAGTATATCTTTATTTTATTTTTTTCATTTTGAAAATTATCATGACATTCAAAGTTCTAATTTGCTCCTGGAAAGGCTTCCCTTCTTCCTTTCCATTTCTTACATAACAACAGATCATCTTCTCGTTTATTCTGGTGCTCCATGTGCTCAATCTCTCAGAGTTGAAGACAATTACTGCATATGTGTTTCTGAATCAGAAGCAGATTCGCAGAATATTCTTTGATTCAGGTACTGTAGATTTGTTTTGGGAAAAAATAGCCCAAATCTACACTGCAAGGAAAATATTAAAAGCCAAGCTGAAAAACAATTTAGACAAATATTGACAGGGAAATATGATTTAGAGCCACCTTATCAAATGTCTCCTTTGAGTCAAGCTTCATACCTGATGACTACATTAGTCTCATCCATATAGCTTTATCAAGGTCCCAAGTAGACCAGACAGGAAACATAACAATGTGAACTAATTCCACTTTATTATAAGATTATATTAACAGAATCTTGCAAGTCTTAAAATACAAATCTCCCTCCAACTGTTTTTACTGCCTGTTTAATTAGGGTGGAACCTTACTCAGTTCCAGACTCCTCCCCCTTTTATCTTTTTTTTTTGTAAACAAGTTTTATTAATTTTTTTCTTTCATCATACATATTTTATGAACAGAGTGTTGACTGAATCACATCTTATACATCTTATTTATCTTATTTTTTGTAATCTATTCCAATTTTTCTGCTTTTTCCAAATTCATCCCTTTTATATAATTCTTCATCACAAATTCATCATTTTTCACCATATCTTGTTATTTCATCTCTCTTTTTTTTCCCCAAGTACATTTTACATATTTCCAATTTCAGCCATAATATTCTTTTTCCATATTTCTTTATCATATCTTAATATCTTCTTAATACATAATACATAAACAGTATCACTATCTGCCCTTTAATTCCTAATTTCTTACAATAACATCAATTATCTTATTTCTCCATTTGCAAAATATATTTCTCAAAATCCCCATCCCACTTTTTATATACACAGTATATATCATCATATTCAATTTTTACATTGAAAGCCTTTAACTTAATTAACCATCCACATCTTATCTTAATCTCTTCTTAATACATAAACAGTATCACTGTCTGCCCTTAATTCTTAATTTCTTACAATAACATCAATTAATTATCTTATTTCTTCATTTACAGTATATATTTTTCAAAATCACCATCCCACTTTTTAACATTTCAATTTTGTCTCTTAATTTAACTTGTCTTCATAATTAAACCCAATTGCCATTTCATATTTCATCTGCTATTCTGTTTTGCTATAAGCAATAAACATCATCATATTCACTTCTAACATTAAAACCCTTTAACTTATTTGACCCACAATTAATAATATTAATACAGTTCCCTTAAATCTACTAATATATATCTTACTTCCCTTCCTGCTTTCCACTATTCTTCCCCTCTTTAACCATTTTGGTCTCTCCAAAATTCCACTTCTTAATAATTTCCTCCTTTTATCTCATTCTTTTAACTTCTTCTTTTTCTTTTTTTTTCTTTTTGTATTTATTATATCTTTTCTCCTGAATCCTTTTTCTCACTTTTAGATATATTACTCAAGTAATTCTCCCCAAGCTTTCTCCTAATCTCTTTCCACTCTTTTCTTCTTTTCCCTTTGATTGATTCTTTTGGGGCGATATTCCCCCCATCCACTCTTTTTTTACCACTGTTAATCCCTGTTAACTGTTAGAAATCATCTAACTGCTTTTTGCATTCAATTCCTTTTCCTTCAAAATTATTTTCTTGCTCCTCGTTTATGCTCTCTTTTTCTTGTTCTATGTGTTCCAGCAAAATTTCTGACTTTTTATTACCCTTTAGTGATTCACACATGTTTTTAAACATCTCAATTAATTCCTCACACATCCAAAACTCCATATTGTCAATTTTAAAAAATTGTTAAAACTTTTGATTTATATTTAATTAAAATTTTAAAGTCCATATAGTCTTTTTATAATTCCAAATAGTATCCAATTCCAGCATTTATTCAATCCACTCCAAGTTAAACCTTTATTATCTTCCACAACCGTTGAAAGTTGAAACCAAGCAGTTCAGAAAAACAAATACTCCTTAAAAGTTCTCACAGTTTTTGAATTATCTTTTATTAGTCAAGGTCACAGCTGTTATTTTTTCTTCTCTTCCAACCAAGATTGCAGTTCTCTCTTTCCACCAGCAGATGTCTCTCTCAAATCCACAATATTCTCAGAGCAACTAAGTCTCAAAGCTGTCAAAAATATTTTGAATCCACATAAAAAGTACTTTTCCTTGGGTTTCTTTTTCTTTTATTATTTTTAATTTCTTCAAATCCAATTTTAAATCCCGTTGTGAAATTTTCTTTCTTGGGCTTTGGTATTTTAATCTCCTCTTTGTTCTTCTCCCTCCATTAACTTTCCCAAGTGCCAATTAGCTGCTCATTTCTGCTCCGGGACACCTTTTAAAGTTATTAAAATTTTTCTTTTTTACCTGTGAGTTGGCCAATCACTCACCTGGTACCAGCACTCTGTTCAGACACCGCTCCTGAACAAAAAACTTAGTCTGGTTGCCCCAGCTTTAGAGCGGTCATTTTCAATGGCTGCCACTCCCACCGCCGGTTCGAAGTGCAGCCTCCGACCTTTCGAGGAACTTGCCTGTTCCTCTTGGTTGACAAAGGCATCTCTCCTTCTTCACCGTCCCTATAGGATGGTTCAAGTCTGAAGACCCTCCGACAGAGGTTTGTCCAGCTGGATTTTCGCAAAACTCGTCGGAGCCCGCTATTTTTCCAGCCGGTCTCGCCACGACGCTTCTGGTTTCTCCCTCCCCCTTTTATCTGATTGTTCCCTACGAAGCATCTCTTTTTCCCCCACCCCTCTCTTCTGTCATTCTCATATTCCATTTCAAACTTTTTTGCAATCTAACTGATTAGCTATAGCCTTCTTCAAGAATTTGTTTTTGTTGTTTTTTTTTATTTTTCCATCTAACTTATTACTCTGGGATTTCCTTCCGGTCTCCATTTCAAGTGCTATCCAAATGTGAGTCCGTTTAGCTTTCAAATAACACTAGCACTAATAATAGCACTTAGATTTATATACCGCTCACTATGCTTTATGACCCTCACTAAGCAGTTTAGAGAATCAGCATATTGCCCCCAACAATCTGGGTCCTTGTTTTACTGACCTCGGAAGGATGGAGGGCTGAGTCAACCTTGAGCCGGTGAGAATCAAACTGCTGGCAGTCAGCAGAATTAGCTTGCAATACTTCATTCTAACCACTGCGCCACCAAGGCTTTTTAAATACAGCCGAAGTAGTTTATCTTCTGCTTAGGCTTGACCAAATATGTATTTTGATTAAATCTTTCTGATGTATATTATTATTCCAGAATCCATAGTTTAAAAAGTTATGACATATCTTTTATTTAAAAAAAATAATTAAAAGAAAATAACAAAAGATAGCTATAAACATGCTACTGGTGGTTTAGCGACCATTCGGAGTTACCATGGTCCATTCCAAGGCTACTTCAACCCAGATTCAAAGTATAACAGCCAGGCCCACCCCTCAAAGTCATGAAATTGTATTTTAGGGACTTTGCAACTAGCCCACATTTACATTTGCAGTCTCCCTTGGTCATGTGACTGCGATTTACAAATTTTTTTGTCAGTTTCTTATGGTTTCTGACAAAATATGCCTAATGGGGAAAACTGAGTTGCTTAATGACTGTGGGGTTCACTTAACAACCACTGTCACTTAACGGCCATGGCACTTACCAATTGTCGCAAAAAATCAGGTCCAGCCATGTCTCAGCTTATGACTGCAATGACTTCTGACTGTAATCCCAGGCTCAATTATGCTCATACATCAAGGACTATCTGTAGTGCATCCATAGACACCTCATCTCACCCCCATTATTCCAGAAGTCT